TGCAATTCAGTATCGTGGAGCCGTAAAAGTACATTTACCATACGGACAATATTGTATTACTCAAGAAATGGCAAAATCTATGAATAAGTATTACAAAAAGCGAAGACATGATCTACCAACTATTAAAGAAAATGATGTTTTATGTCAACGTTGTTATGAAAAAGAGCATAAACGTATGAATCCGAGTAAGTACTTTAAATGTTTGTTATATATTGGAATAAAATCTGAAAAAAAGCTTTTTCTTGACACAATAATAAGGGAAACTAATTTTTTCTCAGAAGGCCAAATCGATACGAATGAATCAGAGAAAACTGACGGTGAGACAACTGCAATATCAATGTCAAAAGGTTCAACAGCATCATCAACAATGTCATTAACAACATCTGCTTCATTAGATTTTGACAAAAGAAATTTACGAATTCGATCACCATCATCTCCATCCATTGATTTAGATCAACCACTAGATGATAATATGATTATATCACCAGCAACTACTCCACATCGTCAAACGTCAAGAGACCTAATTTATTCACCAACAGTGTCACCTTCTGGTGCTGAACGAGAATTAAATCATGATAAAAAGTTAAATGCAGAAAAGTTGAATGAATTACTGCAAAAAGTTGGTGAATCACCAATCAAAGATCAGTATGTTCAATTTTGAGGTTGATTTTCTTTTGAAAATTCCAGGTTTCTTTTGTCTGATTTCTAGAAGAAATTCGAATATTGTTAGACTAAAATGTAATATATTATTAAATCAAATCAAATCTTTAGCAACATCAATCACACAACGTTCATCAAGCTCCTCTTCATCATCAGCTATAACGGCGACCGATACAAATGATACGGATGATAAAATTGAAGTAATTCAAAATTTACCATTAACAGATATGATACATTTAGTTTCTGGTTTAAGACAATTAGTATGTCTTAGCGAATTTGATGAACAAATACGACTTTTAACATTAAGTCCACCGAATTGGTCAAGAAGAGCAATAGCAAGTTTTTTTCCAGTCACACAATGGCAAGCCAGAATAGTGAGATCTTCATATATTTCATTTTTATAAATTACTTTTCCAATACGTACTCTAGTCAATAGATTTAAGATTAGATGATGGTATTCTGGCCAAATATGAAAATACTCAAGATCGAGGAAAAATAACAGCTGAAACAATTGCAAAAGTATTAGATTTTTTCGAAGATGATACGATAAGTCGTGTATCACCAAATGTTAAAGATGTAATTCAAATCAAGGACGAATATGGTAATAAACATCCAAAACAATGTCGATTTATGTTGATTTCATTAACAGAAGCTTTTGAAAATTTCAAAGTAAAAATATTTATATCAGACAACGCGCGATTCGGGAGCGGCGGGTATTTAAATTTCGATGTTATCCGCCCTCTCCTCTGGTTTCAAATCTTTGCGCTTCTTCGGATCCAATTAAAAATCTTTACAGTACTAATTTTCATCTCTTTGTACTCGTATAGGAAAAATATTCAGAAGATGATTCAATCAAAATAGGACATTCAAAATTTTGTCAATTGTTGCCAAAGTGGATTAAACAACAAATCAAGCACAATTCTTGTTTGTGTGTTTACCATGAGAATTATCGTTTACTTCTTACTGTAAGTTTATGCAGAACCATAAGCATTAGAAAATTTTAAATTTGTATTTTTGAAGGCATTATCAGCAGTTGTACAATGTTCATTAAAATCAGCAGATTTTATTAATTCAATAGTTTGTAACCAAGATAGTTATAATTGTATGAGTGGAGAATGTCCACGATGTAAAGATCAATGTCCGTCAATTGTTGTACGACAATTATATCAAATTGATTTGAATGACAATATTACTTGGATGACTTGGTAAGATTTTGAATTTTAATTAAAAAGCCATATTTTATGTGATGAATATTTTCATCTAGGACAAAAGTAAATCAAAAGTTAACGATAACAAGAGTTACTGGAACAATTTCGGATTTATTGAGTAGAATGGATGAACTATGGAGTAATTATATTTTACATTATTATATAACATCAAAACAATATGAATATATTAAAGAATTGAAAAATAATTTATCACCGTATGAAGTCGTAGTCCAGATGGACTTTGCCGAAAACCATTCATTAGAAATTCAATCTGCTATACAATCTAATTACTGGTCTCAATCACAAGCAGCAATTTTTACCGTCTGTGTTAAAACACATGATGCTGTGAGTAATGCTATTTCTTCAAGTATTCATGGCATGCATTTCGTGCATACTCTATTTCTAAAAAGAACAATGTGGCATAAGAAGTCATTTTACTTTTGGGTGTCTAGTCATTATTGAGTCTCTTGATTGCAAAATGTTTTCAGTGTTTTCGTAAATTCCAAGAGTGAGAAAAATGCTATGCTAGGAATTCTTTTCATCGTAAAAAGTTTTGTAATTTACTATACAAAATGGTTTCGCACAAAACTATTAGTAGAGTTCATCAAAAATCGTTTCAGTCACATATTTCGTACCATAACATTTTTCCACTACGGAATTCTTACGGTTTGGATGTATC